CAGGACACTGTTTACGGTGAGTGATATGAAGGTCTTGGGTTCCGCCTCCAACGTATTTGTATCCGTGTTTAACTGTTTTTGTCACATTTGGTGTGGATAGAGGCGCCACCCCGCGCCTCTTGACCATCCTAGCTGAGGCAGCCTCGCCTCTCTCCCCCGCTCATCTGCCTTTCCAGTTTCCTCTTGTCCTTTTACAGTAAATTGTAATGAATGTGTGTGTGTGTGCATGTTCACATATCAGTGACCACATATATATATAACATTTAAAAGTTTTTAAGTGTGTTTTACTTTTTTAAAAGAGTAAAAAAAAGTTTTTAGCATACTTTTTTTTTTATCTTGCACTGTACTATTGTTCAATTGTTGCTTAATATTATGATTTTCAACTTGAGGAATGATTTCCTCCATGCTAAAATCCTTGGATGGTTGAGCGAGTAGCTGACCTCATTGTGTGTGTGCGTGTGTGTATTTACTGTTTGTATCTACAGAATCGAGCTATTAGCTCTTGGACCCCGCCTTGTATATTCGCCTAGTTGTGTTTGCGGGGGATTGAGCTTTGCTCTTTCGGCCCGCCTCTCAACTGCCAATCAACTGTTACTAACTACTAACTCACATTTTTTACACACACACACACACACACACACACACACACACACACACACACACACACACACACACACACACACACACACACACACACACACACATGTGATGTGGTGGAGGCTGACTCCATACACAGTTTCAAATATAGATATGATAGAGCCCAGTAGGCTCAGGAATCTGTACACCAGTTGATTGACAGTTGAGAGGCGGGACCAAAGAGCCAAAGCTCAACCCCCGCAAGCACAATTAGGTGAGTACAATTAGGTGAGTACACACACACACACACACACAGCGAAAAAAACTAGTGGAGCATCTGGAGCGAAGGAACTTTGTAACACAGCATCAACATGGGTTCAGGGATGGCAGGTCCTGCCTCACAGGGTTACTTGAATTCTACGACCAGGCAACAAAAATAAGGCAAGAAAGAGAAGGGTGGGCAGACTGCATATTTTTGGATTGTCAGAAAGCCTTTGATACAGTGCCACACAAGAGGCTAGTGCGAAAGTTGGAGATGCAGGCTGGAGTGAGAGGGAAGGTACTCCGGTGGATAGAGGAATACCTAAGCAACAGGAGACAACGAGTCTGTGTGAGGGGTGAAGTCTCAGATTGGCGAGACGTCACAAGTGGAGTCCCGCAGGGGTCAGTCCTCGGACCTATACTGTTTCTGGTATATGTAAATGATCTCCCAGAGGGTATAGATTCGTTCCTCTCAATGTTTGCCGACGATGCAAAAATTATGAGGAGGATTGAAACAGAGGATGATAGTAGGAGGCTACAAGATGACCTGGATAGACTGAGTGAATGGTCCAACAAATGGCTGTTGAAGTTCAACCCGAGTAAATGCAAAGTAATGAAACTAGGCAGTGGAAACAGGAGGCCAGGCACAGGATACAGAATAGGAGATGAAGTACTTAATGAAACAGACAGAGAGAAAGATCTAGGAGTTGATATCACACCAAACCTGTCTCCTGAAGCCCACATAAAGAGAATAACGTCTGCGGCATATGCGAGGCTGGCTAACATCAGAACGGCGTTCAGGAACCTGTGTAAGGAATCATTCAGAATCTTGTACACCACATATGTAAGACCAATCCTGAAGTATGCGGCCCCAGCATGGAGCCCGTACCTTGTCAAGCACAAGACGAAGCTGGAAAAAGTCCAAAGGTATGCTACTAGACTAGTCCCAGAACTAAGAGGCATGATGTGGTGGAGGCTGACTCCATTCACAGTTTCAAATGTAGATATGATAGAGCCCAATAGGCTCAGGAATCTGTACACCAGTTGATTGACGGTTGAGAGGCGGGACCAAAGAGCCAGAGCTCAACCCCCGCAAGCACAATTAGGTGAGTACAATTAGGTGAGTACAGGAAGCAGCTCCGTAACAGGCGCATCAGGGTGAAAGAAACTTTGCTCACTTGTTTCTGCCTGGTCCGGGAATCGAACCCGGGCCACAGAATTAAGAGTCCTGCGCGCTGTCCACTCAGCTACCAGACCTCCGTATGTGTGTGGGGGGGGGGAGGAAAGAGGGGAGATGCATATGTTTTCATGCGTGTGTACCTACACACTCTTAGCAATACTTGTATGGTCTACCACCTTCTCTTAAGCCCTGCCTTTCGACCATCAATATAGAAACTCTTCATTACTCATTTTTCTTTTATTTAATTAAATGTTATATTGTGTATCGATTAGGCTTGGACGGCTTCCTCGCCTAGTCTGTTCCGCGCATTTACGACTCTCAAACTGAGAAAGTTCCTTCTGACATCTGTGACTCTTCTGTGTTTCCAGTTGTTACTTGTGTCCCCTCGTTTTGCTATTCCTCATTTTTAACATTGCTTGTGTATCTGATTTGTCAATTTCCTCGGTACCTTTTACGTCGTTATCATGCCTACCCTATTGCTTCTTTGCTCTAGTATAGTGAGGTCCCGTTCCCTTAGCTTAGGAACGAGCCTTGTTGCATATTTCTAGACCCTTTATAGTTATTCATTTGTCTAGGTAGAGGTACCATGCTTGGGCAGCATACTCAAGAACGGGACTGACAAAGGATGCATCCAGCGCTCAGGCTGGATCTTTGTCCAAGTTTGTGAAGGATAACTGGACGTTTGCCAGTATGGCATATGCTGCCCTCGTTATCCTACTGACGTGCGTTTGGTGTTAGATAACGAGTCTACTCCACAAGTCTCTCAGAAGTTGGAAGTTGCCTTTCCTTCGTCCTGTACTGAATTTGAAACATTTTTTTTCCATTTCTCGTATCCTCATAACCTTGCATTTGTTTAGGTTCAAGTTTATTAGCCATTTCTCAGACCATCTTTGGAGATTGGCTAGTTCATCTTGGAATGTATAGCCGTCCTCAGTCCTGATTCGCATCAGTTGCTTAACAGCGTCAGCAAACATGTGATATCAGTAAGCTTACTTCCTCTGTTAAATATTTTACACATATTAGAGATCAGGATGGGGCCGTAGTACTGACAGCTTGAGGTCAGTACTACGCTTGTGAGGAACAGTGTCAAACGCTTTCTGGCAATCCAGGAAAATGCAGTCTGCCCAGTCATCTCTCCTGTCTAGTTGTCGTCATCTTGTCATAGCAGTAATAAGTTGGCCAAACAGAACTTTTTAACTAAAGTTTAAACATATGGTGATTGGGAGGGGGGGGCGTGATGGGGCTCGGTGATGGTAGGGTGGGGGAGGGCTCGGAGGTGGTGATGGGGGGGGGGGGGGATGGGGAATTTGCGTTACTTCATCCACACAAAGGTTGTGATATGTGCTGCGGGAAGTAACGAAGATAACTAGCAATAGACTTGATATCTTGGAATGATGACATTACGTAAAACAGCAACAGTTTTTTTTGGGTAAGTTTCATTCATTGGGAACAAGTTTCTGAAAGTGTTGAGGCGGCAGTGGAGGCTGGCACAGATAACCAGCTACTAGAGGCAAATATTGCTATCAAATGGCAACCCCACGAGGTTGGGGGGGGGGCTCCAGTCCCACAGTGGGAGGGGGGTGGCTCCAGCCCCACAGTGGGAGGGGGTGGCTCCAGCCCCACAGTGGGAGTGGGGGTGGCTCCAGCCCCACAGTGGGAGGGGGTGGCTCCAGTCCCACAGTGGGAGGGGGGTGGCTCCAGCCCCACAGTGGGAGGGGGTGGCTCCAGCCCCACAGTGGGAGGGGGGTGGCTCCAGCCCCACAGTGGGAGGGGGTGGCTCCAGCCCCACAGTGGGAGGGGGGTAGCTCCAGGGGCTGGAGCCTCAATACGCTTCGTGGCGTGCAAGCGTGCGCCTCATTCTCCCATTAACTCGAATGTTAGGCTTTAAACTCCCTCAAATCTAAGCCAATAAATTATATACAAATATATAAAGTGAGATGCGAATCTCTTACTGAACTTCAGTGGATGCGACGGCTTCGTGACTGTGAAGCCCTAACCACAGTTCTAGGATGTGGTCGAGCGAGTGAAACTAGCGAGGAATGCGACCAGCGCCCATGACACATATGGTAGTGATGTCACCTCCAGACATGCTAGGCGGCGTTGATATCCCAGATCCCACACCTGTATCCCACACTTGTATCGACAGTTTCTTGGACTGTGAGGCAAGTGCTTTAATTATTTTATTTACAATAGCACCGAAGTACTTTAAAAGACGTACACGCCCTAATCATCATAATAAATGACTAGGAATAAATGTTAAATTATAATTTCGAATATACTGTGCCAGAGTAGTTTTACGAGGATTATATTCATTCAGTTATATCCACAAGTGTTACTCAAACATCAGTCTTTTCCACAAGTGTTACTCAAACATCAGTCTTTTCCACAAGTGTTACTCAAACATCAGTCTTTTCCACAAGTGTTACTCAAACATCAGTCTTTTCCACAAGTGTTACTCAAACATCAGTCTTTTCCACAAGTGTTACTCAAACATCAGTCTTTTCCACAAGTGTTACTCAAACATCAGTCTTTTCCACAAGTGTTACTCAAACATCAGTCTTTTCGCACAAACTATCTTGGTTATGTCTGTGAAATTAACGTATTTAACGGTATGATAAATACATCTAGACAAGTTTGCAAATAAACAGCAACACTAACTAGAGCTTGAGACCCCCTCCCCCCCCACACTAGTTAGGGGGTGCGCATTGGGGGGGGGGGATGGCCTGTGACGTCACAGGTGGACTCTCACCTTCACTTGCTCTGCTCCAAATCCTCTGCACTTTTCTTACCTCAATAAACCTTCAAAATCTTACTTAAAACTCGAGTTAAGTGAGAAGGCATTCTTCTTTCTGTGATAAGGTTGAATAAAAATATTTAGTCTGTATTATCCAAGTAATCAAAAATTTGTTTTTGTTTTTATAATTTTATAAAAAAGAAAGAATTAAGAGGGGTCTGGAGTGTGGAGCGGCCAGTTGTCCGTCTGCTTCAGTGTGTGTCTGCTGCTGGAGTGAGCAGCAGACAGCGACTGAGCGACGCGAGAGATACCAGCCTTTCGCAACTAAGTACTAACAATTTCAACGTAACGCCTAGTTTACAACACGCGCTCCGCACATTCCTCAACTATATCCACTATAAACGGACTCCAACAAAGACACCACAGGGCGGGCGTTCGCATCCCCTCTAGCATTTTTATACCGACTAGGAAGACACTCCTAACAAGCCAGCAGGCATAACCACCAATGAAGTTAACTCTTCTGGTGTTAGGGGTGGGGCCGGGGAGCTGACCTGTGCAAGTCCGGGTCATTCCTGGCCGCACCCTCTCACTGATCGCTACACACACGGATACAAATCACAGGACTGCATATAATGTGAATATTCGTGTAAGTATTGATGTTTCTACTAATGTAATTCCTATATATGAGTAGTCGCAATGCATAATGACTAAAAACTAGGCTATGCTAGTGTTTTTTTCGGATATAGGCTATTTTTTTTTAGTATTGTATCTTTTTTTTCACAATGTTAGTTTAATACAGTAATGTGAACACAATGACCAGGCGCTGTGCCCATTATTTTGTATCCTGGTTCCGCTATTTGGACCAGCACGCTAGCTTAGTGACCAAACTAGCATTTATACTTTAATCTTAAATGATAGTTCAGGACTAAAATCAATTCTCGGTGTGTGTATATATACACCAATGAGAAGACGAGGCTTCGTGGGTCAAGTGTTGCAAGAGGCTCTTGATAGTAATGAGGTATACGACTGGGGGCCACTGACGGCTGACGCAATAAAATTGCCTTGTAATCAGTAGAGAAGCAGTCGTCACTCTGTTTTATATTTGAAACATTTAAAGTTTCTTGATAAAACTGTCGAAATCCAGGTTAGTGTTTTTTTTGGCCCCGCCTCTGAATCTTAATGAACTGGTATTATACGGCTTAATGATATAATTAGGTCGGCAATTTAAAAAGTTCATATTTGAATTTATTTATAGACTTGGTTAAAAACAAAATAGCGACGCGCATTACAACAAATAGTGCCTTTGAAGATATATTTGTTAGACGTCACGAAATACCAAATTCAAATGTTTTAATAATTTATGATCCATTGCGATAGTAATCCAGTTCTTCTTCTTCTTGATAGTAGGTGTAGTTTGCTTGAAGGGTTTAATCCAATTCAAACATTATGAAATGTTTAAGGCATGTCTCAAGATAGGTGTGTGTGTGTGTACGTGCTGACGCCAGATAAAGCCCTGAAGCGTGATGTTGACGTTGAAGGGCCACCAACTTCTCCTAATAAAACGTCGCATTCTGACGTTATTCAAAAAGGCCAAAAATTGTCGGACTAGCGGTTCGCGAAATTGACATAATATCCCGTTTTCTGTTTTGGGTCCTCTGGTAGGTAAGGATAGTGAACTTTAGTACGACAGTTTCTTGACGTTGGGGAAACCTTAGGAGGACGGGCTGCATTATGAACGGCCATGACGTCAGGGGCAGGGCTCGCCAAGCAAGTATTTACAAACCCCCATTTTTTCAATCTTTAGCGGCTTTTGTTTACATTTATCTAAACAGTTTGACCTCTGAATCATTAGGAGGCTGTTTATAGTAATTACAACATTTTACTCGAAAGTTTCGGTGTTCGTAAACTGTTTTTAACACTGTAAAGCCGTCAGAGATTAAGAAAAGATTACAGGTTCACAAGTACTTGCTTAAATGGTTAAATCCTTCTCCCTCCCCCCAGGTCTGGACCAAACAAAAAATTTTCGCGTAATTTTTAGTAAATGTCAAACGACCCAAGCGTGTAACACTTGTATGCTGTCTTTACTATATTAACCTGCAATGTAAACTGTGTATCTTGTGCTGTGATTTGTGGATTTGCACTAGCAGGATTAAAGATTAATCCTTAAGGGATTTGAAACAGAGGATGGAAATAGCCCAAGCTACTCTGTTCCTTTGAAATATGTTTTATTGCCTCGATAAACTTGCTTGAATGTCAAGCGAAATTGATGATTGGAAAAAATTGTCTAGTTTAATAGTTTTGCTAGCCATACTATTTTATCTTCATAATTTTGTAATTTAATAGCTAGCTTAAGTCTTGGCTAGGTATTTTGTTCGCATCAAGCGAATATTGATCAAATAAGGAATTGAGGGATTAAGACGAACGGTCCGAGACAGTTTCACCAAGGTCTGAAAGTGAGAAATAATCGGACTACTTTCACCGAATGGTGATCTTGCGTTGGCACCACACAAGCTGGCAAGCAAACGGAACGTTCCGTAGGCCTAGTGAAAGTAGCACAGCACTCCAACATAGCATTGGGAAAGTAGCACAGCACTCCAACATAGCATTGGGAAAGTAGCACAGCACTCCAACATAGGCTTGGGAAAGTAGCTCGGTAATCTCCCATAGGCTTGGGGAAATAGCACAGCCTTGTATGGACTGGCATCGTAAATTATACGTCTTATCAGTCATTTTTAACAGCTACCAAAATTATAGTGTGAAGACACTGCAATGTCTTTATACCGTCGTGATTGTTACAATCTAATCTGGACGAATATATAATTTGTTCTATCACAGATATGACCCCTACATTAACAATGGTAACTGTAAGCTTGTATACATTTTCTTCTGTCCAAAGAGAAGCCGTGGCAGCGTCCGGACGCGTGCTGCCGCCAGACTGTAGCAACGCCATGTATTCTGGGAGTAAACAATGACTCGCTCGACTCTTCTTACTAGGCTGCACAAATCTGAAAGTGTTATTTAAACAATTTCGATTTCTAAGCCGCGTTTCATCCATTTAATGCATCTTATGTCATGGTTCTAAACAAAAATTAGCTTGCATGCTCATGGGAATTTTGAGCCCCAGATTGTAACTTACTATATTTGTATTTTGTCATTGTTTATGGAGAAAGATAATGAAATGCTTGAAGCATTTTAGTCCCGTTAAATAACGATAAGTTCGGAATACATTTAAATGGTACAGTTCTAGGAATCGTGGTATTAATGCCTAGTAATCCCATGAAATAAAAATTATGAATTGGTAAGAATAATGAACTATTTTTAAGGAAAAGGGAAGTCCTGTTGATTACTTACGTGTGTCTGTTTTATTATTGACAAGTTTAAACAGCGAAATAAAATAAATTATTCTAAAATAAAATGGAAAGTGAAATAAATGAAAGCTTTCTTGAAAGCCTGTTAAAATGATCACTGTTAATCATTTTAACAAGACAATTAAAAAGCCAGTGAGCTTTGCACATATGCGGTCCTGTCTACTCTGAAATCTCCTCGCATTTTTTTTTTTACTCGGCGTTGCTCGGGTCTGTCAGTCTCCCCATCTCTATCTCTATATCTAGCTTTCCCAATCTCCTCCCTTTGTTCCTCCTATTTCCCCCCCCCCCCTCCCCATTTCCCCTCTAGAAGCACCGAAACAAATAAATAGTTCCCAGATGCTCTGCTTTATCATCTCTTCAACTCTTCCTTTTTTTCATTATTTTCCTTTCTGTGACAACTTTACAGAAAAGTACACGCCATATTTCACACTTGACTAAATGGATAAACATTAACATGGCCTGGGGAGGGGGGGGTTAATTGCAAATTTTTCACAAATTATTTAACATGCGCCTACCCCAACCAACCTATGTGCGTCCCATACCCCAGACCATTCCCCCTACAAATTTGGGTGAGGCTGTGCCAAAGAGTCTGGGCTCCAACTTTGGACAGATAAAGACACTCTTACATGTATATCTTTCTCTATGGGTGATTATGCCATCAAAATCTGTTCGCGTGCCATAGATTCGCCACCCGTCCCAGGTTGTCTGGATCTTTATCATATTATCACCAATATTTTACGTGTTAACATTTTTCTTTAATTGTATAATGTCTGATCGGCCTTCTGCTTTGCTATTGGTCATAAAACATAGATCATGAATATACTGTTAGAACATTTTACTCAGTAGACCTTGAGGAGTGGTATTTGGTATACGTTCTTAAGGCCAGTCAGCCGTGTTCTAGAGTGACTGTCCTTGGTTCGTGATTCACTTGTAACGGTTAGGCTCATGAGCAAGATATCACTAGCACCTACGCCTTGGGAGACTTGCCAACCACTTGCCTCGCTCGTACCAATCCCTCCCCAATCCTCCCCCCCCCCTAATCCTCCTACAGGTGATGGGTGCCCAAACACGCTTGACTACGTATTAGCCCAAGCTAGTCTTCTCGTATCCCGATAATGGTTAGCAAAGACGACGCAGCCCGTTTATCCTGGGTTTGATTCTAGAGTAGGGTGTGACGTCTGTAAGTTTCCTTTAGTGATGCGTCTGTTCGCGAAAGTTAATAGTTACCTGAGAGTTAGAGGACTATTGTGGGTTGCATCTTGGAGAAAAGGTCAATAGTTGTGTAGAGCACAAGCCTAAAAGGTTTGGTGTCCTCGGTGGAAAAAGGTGTCTACCCACACACTGAACGGTCTTCCGATGGCCTCTATATACGCTGAAGTTGTGAAAACATTTGTAACATGTGTTACTACTGTTGGCCTAGAGGAACTACTGCTGTCTCGTCCCTGGCTTTCCCCTTGTCACCTCTTTACCTTAAGTAATGAATTATCAGTTCCCCCCCCCTGGATCCACCCAAAACACGTTTTCTTTGATGCGACCTGTCCTTAGGAAGGAGGTAACCTGGAGGTAATCATTTCAAAACCCCTACATAATTAGTGCTATTATATACTTCTTATCCATGGTTAGGTTACAGTAAGGCTGCATTAAATTAAGTTCATGTTGGGTTTCGTTACGGTTGGTTACATTAAGTGTTATTCGTGAGCATGTGAAATTCGAAAACTATTTGAGTATCCCCTAGAACTTTATTTACAGAAAACCAAATTCTTCAACCAGTTTCAAAGAAAATGACTTGAGCATAGATACATTATTTTAAATCGATGATTTATAATACGACGAATAATCGCAGAGAAAATTTCTCAAAACTTGAGAATATTCACTGTTTGGAACAAAGGTTCACTTGCCAGTTTACAAGAAGAATATTATTGAAACGGTAATATGCTTTCAGATCACAAATATCTAAACTATCGAGGTCGTTTGATGTCTCGTTCTTATCACTTTACCCTGAGAACGGGCTTTTTATTATTATTATTTACTCCAGTTTCTTGCATAAACGCCCCCTGCCCTCCCTGTCATTCTAAATAACCTGTTCCGCATTTTCTAGTCCTGCATTGTCCTCTCGTCTGTCTGTTCTTCATTCACTTCCTTCTCATCCCTTTCCCTTCGTAAAGTGAACAAAGCGAGACTGGCAACAGATAAAAGTAACCGGATCATTAAGAACGTCACGTGGCAAAAAGTGAGAGGGTTTCCCCCTGGGTGTGTTCTCCTCGCTGGCACACTGCAG